GACTTACTGTGGGGATCATTTTGTAATGTATATAAGTATGGAATCACTATGTTCATGGAAAACTATAGGTTATTGTATATCAATTACATAGCAATAAAAAATATCCAAGAGGGCAGTAAATACATCAGATAAATCACTGGTGAGAGAGAGAATTAAAAAACTTTCTCTCCTTTAATAAAACTTTTTCCTTTCCCCTTTTAATTTCATTTTTATTATTTATAAAATTAAAAATTTGAACTAAAAGACTCTGTAGTTTTCATTTTCCACAGTTACCACACAATATGCTAACTGTTGTATTAAGTGTTTCTAACATCACTTTCTTGGGGCCATGCATCACTAATGTTTTGCAAATATCCCTGTAACATTTTTTCCCTTATAACTTGAGGATTTTCCAAATTCTGAGTGAATACAACATCATCACCTCAAAGATGCCTCAAGACTTCCTGGCCTATCTACTATTGAAGATTAAATAGCTATCATACAGCTATGAAAAGTCCTTGTAGACCTGCGTTTAGTCTCAGATTAATCTAAAGAATTATTTCTTTCAATTTCATAGCTGACAAGCTATGAAACAAGGGACTTATATAGATATATTTTAGGTGCATAATGCATATAAACTCTCTTAGTTCCTGGACACTTATAAATTTCTCATCACTCTGAAAAATTCCTCCCAAATTGTCCCTGTTCTTTGTTATATACACTAGAAATATTTTTTACAAAACTCTCAAGCATATAAATTAGACTACATCAAAATTAAAACTTTTGTTCTTCATAAGATACAGATAACATATAAAAAGTCAACGCAGAGACTAGGAGAAAATGTTTGCAAATCACACATCTAATAAAAGACGTGTATGCAGAATGAATGAAGACCTCTCAAAACTCAACAATGAAAAAAATAACCCAATTAAAATGGAGGCACAAATTTTGAATAGACAGTTCAAAGACTTATAGGTGGCAAATAAACACATAGGGAGATCATTGTCATTATCCATTATGTCAATGGCAATGCAATTTAAATTTTGATGTGCTGCCATTACACACCTGTTAGGATGCTATTGAATACATATATATAAATAAAAATAATGTTAAATGTTGCCAGAGATGTGAAGCAAATTTATCTCTCATACACTGTTGATGACTATGCAAAAAGTCACAGCCATTTTGGAAAACAGTTCTAAATTAGCTAAATGTTAACATTCATACAGCTCAGTAATCTCAATTCTAGGTATTGTGCCCAAGCGAAATAAAAAAACACTTTCAGAGAAAAATTGTATTAGAACATTTATAAATGTTTTATTTGTAATTGCCTAGAAGGAGAACAACTGAAATATTCTTCAACTGCTGAATGGATAAAAACAAACAAAACAAAAACTTTTGTACATCTGTACAAATGGAATACTACTCAGCAGGGGGAAAAAAAAAAAAGAGGGATATATAATGTATTATGCAAAGTAAAACAAACCAGGCACAGAAGGCTAACTACTGTATAATTCATTTATATAACATTCTCAAAAAGGCAAAACTGTAAGAAAGAAAACAAGCCAGGCAACACTAGTGACTTGAAAATGAGGTTGAGGGAGGCTGACCATTGTAGTAATGATCTACTGCTTTGTAACATACTAGTGACTTCTCTCAGACTTTCTGTGGGTCAGGAATCTTGGTACAGTTTACATGAGTGCTTCTGGCTCAAGGTCTTTCATGAGGTTGCAGTTAAGCCATTAAGCAGTCTGCTGACTTCAGTGTTATCTGAAGGCTCAAGTGGGGAGGATCTGCTTCCAAATTCACCTACATAGTTGTTGGCAGGATTCGTAGAATTTGGAATTTAGATTCTTGCTAGCTGGTTAGTTTGGGACGCTCCTAGTTCCCTGCTATACGCCCTTCTCCAAAGGACAGCTCACAACCACGCCACTGACTTTCCTCAGACAGAATTTGTGGCAGTATGAGAGAAAGCACCCTAGACATATCACTGGCTTTTTATAACCTAATACCAAGAATGTCATCCCATTGGCTTTACCAAAATTATATTCCTTAGATGGGAGTCATTAAATCCAGCTCTCATTCAAAGGGAAAGCATTAGGCAAGAGGATGAACACCAGTAGACAGGAATTATTGAGGGCCAAAATTGGAGGCTGCCTCTCACAGGCAGCCCTCTGGATCTCAGTGATTTATATTTTTCCCCCATTCAAAACATCTTCATCTCTTCCAAGGTCATAAGGGTTTCATTCCATTATGTTGTCAGTTCAAAGTCCTGAATCTCATCGTCAGGAAGCCATGTTAGAGTCAGCCTGCTGCCAACTCAAAGTGGAACGGGGGTGAGCAAATCTGATTTGTATCTTGATTGTGACAGTGATTACATTGCTATACGTGTTTGGTAAAAACTCATAGAATTGAATACTAAGAGGTGGATTCCATTATATGTAAGTTAACCTTAATTTTTAAAAAATAGGAAAAAGGTAAACTCAAGACTATAAAATATATTTCTATGAATCTACATTTTGACACTGGAAAACAGCATAATTTTTTCTAATTTTATCATTGAAAGGCCATAAGGATATATCATATTCTTATATAATCAATAATTTGCTTATAGGAATAGTATATGGTTACTGACTGCAACTTAATATCCTTTTATAGAAAGAAGTTTATTGTGATAATATTATTTTTCACTTTAATATTTGTTTTTTCTTTAGATCAGATAATTCATCAATTCAAGAATTAGGGAAGATGAACATGGTTGCAAATGCACTAGTCACTTTTTCTCATTTTATTTACAAAAGAATTATTAGAATGATTTCCATAAGTTACATTTTATAACTACTTTTATTTACTTCAAGTAAGCTGAACACAGACGGTGAAGAAAAATCCCATGTTCTTGTTTTCCCCAATTCTGCAAAGTTACAGAGGGAAGGCAGTAGGATCCAGTTACTGTGCCCTGTTTATACAGCTGCACTTCATTGAATGAAGGCTTGTGTTACACACAGTTTGTGATAGGAAGTAAATGCTTTTAAAACAACTAAAGAGACAGGTCTTTGACCTCCACCTTTGTGGATCCTTTGTTCCGCCATTTAGCTTCTGTGGAGGTTATAAGGAAGTAGTTTCAATATATCTTATCACCCTCTAATTTAACCTCATCTGATCAGTTTTTCCCATGTGAATTCATAACATGGATGCATTACGATAAATTTTTAAAACAAATCCTGAAGGGACCAACAAAATGGACAATGATTTTATTTGCAATGAAGTTTGTAAGTCAAAGGTTCCAAAATGTTCAACAATGGGTGTGTTCTAAAGAGAAAATAGTGTTTAGATTGCTTCAGTGGCTCAATCTTTAAGAACTTTTAAGATACTTAAGAGATTCATCAAATGTATTACTTCTTAGTAAACTTCCACATAACATCTGAAGTTATCAAGTGCCACCAGATTTGCTGTATATCTCTTATTTGTAGCTGCATAGGCTAGTCAATAAACCAGAGATACAGGTTCTAGGTTATTTCCAAGATTATGCCTGGGAAGTTACAGGTCATTATGGTGAAGTAGTTCTTGTTTGTGTAAGAAGAATTACTTTAATTACTTGGGTAAAAATACTACACATGGGTCATTATTATATGTGATTAAAATGTCAACTTATTAGGATCTAAGTTACATATAAACTGATGGCTTATAAAAATACTTCTAAGTACATGACTTTAATAAAAATGACTTTTGATAGAGCTATTGTTTCATAACGCTGTTCATAATGTTCTCTTTCTTGTAGAATTTAGTCCTTCTTTTATCTCTGGGCTATCGTTTGTTTACCAAAACTCTTTTACAGACCTCATTTGGTCACTCCCTACACAGATTGTCTGGAGAGCTTGCATCTCCTAAGTGAATGGCCAAGAAGTCCACCCAGATTAAATATCTATATCTATATCTATCTCTATATATGTATATATATTAAATACATATGTATATGTAATATATATTATATACATGCATAATATATGCATATATTTTATATATACCTATAATTTTTATTAAAATTTATAAAAAGTTATTCTGCCATGTGCCATAAACTTTAACTGTCAGTATATGGCAACTGCAAAGAAAAATAACCCCAAATTTTCACTCTTAGGATCACTGTTCAGTGCCCATGAATCTGAGCCTCAAAGATTTAATTTCTAATTTACACTGACAGACATACAATGATCACATCATTCTATCTCCTGTATTTGTAACAAAATATTAAATACAAGTTAGTTTAGCTAAGAACGTAATTTTTTAAAACTGAATATAATATAGTGATGCATTTTGATCGCAATTCTGGTAGGAAATGAAAAATATTGACTGAATGAAAAATGTGGGCTTGTTCTTTTCTATGCTATCTACTTAGGGGGTCACTATAGAAGCATGTTAGTTGTAGAAAAACCAAACAACTATCTTTTGGTGGCATATATGAATTTTAATACATTATGAGGTACCTTAAATCTAAGGAACAAATATTATTTTGCTTTGTCACTTATTTTAATAGATAGAGTGAGATTTCTTAAAATGCTATCAGGAAAGAATATTATGTAATATCTTATTCAAAATTTATGCAGCAATTTCTCCTATCAGAGTATTCTTTAATTAGAAATATGTTATCACATACTGAAAAATCATCACCATTCATTGACTATATTGTTATATTACCAGTTAGCTTTTATGATCTGTCATATTGTAATATGTTAGCAAAGTGTAAATTTTGGAAGTCATTTCAGTTTGCTGGAGGCACTTAATTATATCATATACACTATACATATTTATTGGCTATGCTTCAATTTTTTATTTGTTTATAATTTATACCCTCCTTGCTTCCAAAAGTGATTTGAGGCAGCTTATTTTAATTATAATTATATTGGCTAGCTTTTTCAGAGATGTTCCAGATTTTCTTCCTCAATCAACAGAGCTGCATACATACTGAAAATGGAAGTGGCTTTGTTCTCATTTTCATGGCTCGTTTCAAATTATGTGTTTTGCAGAGGTTAATATTATGTGGGCTGCACACCAAGTACACCACAGTTCTGAAGACTATAACTTATCCACGGCCCTGAGACAATCTGTCCTCCAAATATATACTTCCTGGGTAAGTTGTATGAAATTGAATAAATGTGATAATATAATTTATTTTTTTAAGTCTCAGCTGTTTCTATATCCTATGAGTAAACTAATAAGGTGTTTTTGCTAAAATCCTTCTTTCTCCTCTGTAAGGACAGACACTAAAATGAAGCAAATTGTGCTTTCCAATAATAGTCTTTGATTATGGAAGCAGCTGTCTCTTTTTATTTACTATCAACTAGGGGAAGTGATGGATAAACAATGTATCTAAATTCAAATATATGCAAAGAAAGACTACTAGAAACTTTTAAAAGCAGTTCTAAAAAAATAGTTCCTGTTTCTGAATGCCGCTCCTCCAAAATTTACTTAAACCTTTTGCTTTTTGTCTACATGTTAGAGCAGTGAGTGCAATGATCAACGAAAAGTTTGGTTCCAATAATTTCACACAAGGAAGTGGCAAGACTAATGAACACCATCAATAGTCCCTGGTTCTCTGGTTCTTCTGATTCACTGGGCAAAGCTGACCTAACAGCCCTCATCTGACTGTCTTTAACTCTTTTAAATTATTTGAAATACTGTTACTAAAATGCATATTGAGCTAGAAAGTCAGAGCTATTGATGTCTATGTGCATTTATCAATGTTATTCACTAACTATAAATTATAATGATCTAACATTTGTATGGCTCTTTCTAGTTTGCAAGGTACTTCTCTTAGATATCATTTATTGAGTACTTTCCATGTGCCACACAATCTTCTGAGACCTCCTTATATATTAATTCATTTAATATTAATGACAATTTTTAACATGCAGATACTACTATAACTCTCATTTTTAAGTGATGGAACTCAGTCCATAGTCTAATCACAAAACCAATAAAGAGAGGAAAAGAATTTGAACTCATTTAACCTGGGTGCATGTTCCCAGATCTTAGCCGGGATACTACACCTTCTTCTATTGCCTTTATACTCTTTCCCTCTTATGTTATCTCCTTTGATCCTCACAAATAAGCCCATCTCATGTTAGATCTTATGTTACTAATACCAGGGAACTAAAGATGAGTGAGATTCATTCTACAGCCAGTAAGTGATTAAGTCCCATATGTGACACCAGATACCTCATAACTGATACAAACATACTTACTGGCATTTGTTCTAACTCAAACAGCAGAATAGGTAAAAAAGAAAATCTATAATGCAGGATAATACCAATACATTTGCTGAAATGAATATTAAAAGAAATCCACCCTGCTCCCAATTCCATACACCTGTGTAATAGCTTGTATTAATTGCCTAGGGTGGCTGTAACAAAGTACCACAGACTGGACTGCTTACAACAGAAATGTATTTTCTCACTTTTCTGAAGCTGAGGAGTCTAAAATCTAGGTATCAGCAGGGCCATGGTGCCCCTGATGTTTCTAGGGAAGGAGCTATTCTAGTCCTCTCTCCTAGGTTCTGATAATTCCTTGGCTTTGGGGAGCATAACTCCAACCTTCGTATGGTTGTCTCCCTGTGTCTGCATCCAAATCTCTTGTTTTTGTAAGGACGCCAGTCATACTGGATTAGAAGCCCCCCCCTTACTTTATTAATACCTTATCACAGCTAATTAGATCCACAATGACCCTATTTCCAAAGAAGGTCACATAATGAAGAATTAGGGAATAAGATTTTGAGGTATGAAGGGATAGGATTTCAAAACATGAATTTTGGAGGTATACAATTTACTCTTTAACACAGCTATAAGCAATATGGATGAAAAAAAGGATTATATATACATGATTTTTTTCCCATCTCTTATAGCTTGTGCTGAGAATGCTAGATGATTAAAAGTAGAAGAAAATTCTACCTATGACACTCTGCATAGCTCAAGGCTGTTCTAGGGTTCCAGTGAATGGAACAAAGAACAGGCCCCTCATGGCCAAAAGGACCTGCTCACCCTTCTTTCTTAAGAAATAGTGGCATTAACACAGAAGTGTAATATCAGATGGATTAAAATATTAATCTCAAAAAATCTTTATTCTCTCCTGCTGTATGTATTTCTCTTTGTATGAGGATTATTCAAACCTCTGATAGTTGCATTTTGGGGCAAAAAGCATCCACGAAAGGGGGCAGCTAGATTTCAAGTTGATCCAGGCAAATCAGTACAGTTAGTGAATTAATCACCTGGGGATTTATCAAAGGGAAATTTTTATCAGAGCATTATAGATTGCAGAACTAAAAGAAATCTTGGAGAAAATATATTTAAATCATCCATTTTGAAAGCTACAAAAGAATTTCAGAGGAGCTCACTCCGTCATGCAGTATTGAACATCGCTGGTTGGAACTGAGTTCGCACATCTTACTCCTGGTTTATCTTTATCCTGGTTTCACGTGTGTCATCCCCCCTATGAAGTCAAGGCATCCAAAGTTACAGATTAGGGAAAATCGAAGTAAAGTGCAGATTCTCCCCTATGCAATGCAGGAATAAATTTCCATGGCAGCCTGATATCATGTCACCGAGGACAGAGAAAAAAATATGCTGGTTAAGGAAATGAGCTTTGGGAATGCATCTACTAATTTTTCTGCAGGGGCTGGGGGAATGGATTCAGAGAACTTGCAGTGTAAGAAATGAAGTCAAGATTGTAAGTCAGCCTGGATTCTTTTCTAGCATTTGTAGGTCTGTTTGAAGACAGCATAGGTGGTTTAAGGGTCTGTGATAGTTAATAGTCTGTGATAGGTCTTTCCAGAGATTCAAGTCAAAGGGCAATCATCAGTTCTTTTTATTTCCTTCAACTCTTTGTAAAATTCTTTTCATCCACATTGCTACATGAGGAATACAATTTGGTGGTTACTAAGGTAACATGTATTTTAGAACAAACAAAAAAATGGGTCATGTCATTGGAAATAAAACTGATTTGTGAAATGAAAAGCAAAATTAAGCTCAGAGGCCTCTGATAGTACTATGAAAATTAGGGTGGTGACTTGTCATTCACAGCAGTAAAATATAAGAATTCAAATTTTAAGAATTTCTATCCCTACATTTTGCATTTTTAAGCCAGTTTTGAGCTTAAATTTAATATTATTTATCCAAGAAAAGCTGCAATGTTAAGTGAGTACGATTTTAAGTGAGACATTTATTGGTTTTGCATGCTACTTCAATCTTTTATTGCGCATCTTAATTAATATAATGCCTTAAACATGATAGTCTCTCCACTTTGCAAATAATAAAATATGTCTAGACCCATGGATATTGTGTAATACATAACAGTGTCGGGATTAACATTTTGTTTTCTGCCAACTTTATAATGAAATACCTTAATGCTGCAGTTGTATATTGAAAACATAGCTACAGAAGTGCTTGAAAAATAAAAGAATGGGATGTGTCAAAGGAATACAGGAGCCAACTTGAAAGAGCTCCCAATGACCAAAATCTGGAACAATTTGAACAACAAAATATATAACATACGGTGGCGTTATAAACTGAAGTATAAAATAAATATCTTTTAAATTGGTCCATATTGATATAGCTAAATGATTGAAAAAATAAATAAATGGGAGAAAAATTCCCTTAAAGAATTAAAAATAATATGTATGGATACAGTGCCCCTCTAGGAATGGAGCTTAATGCTTCCCTACCCCTGACTTTTGAGTGCTGGCTGTGCTTAGTAAGTCCTTTGTTAAGAAAAAGCCCTGGCTAGTGTGGCTCAGTGGATTGAGCACTGGCCTGAGAACCAAAGGGTTGCCGGTTCCATTCCATGTCAGGGCACATGCCTGGGTTGTGGGCCAGTTCCCCATTTGGGGGTGTATGAGAGGCAACCACACATTGATGTTTCTCTTCCTCTCTTTCTTGCTCCTTCCACCTCTCTATAAAAATAAATAAATAAAATCTTTAAAAAAAAATACGGAAAAGGGATAGAGGGTGGGGTAGGGTGGGGTAGGGCGGGGTAGGAAGGTAACTTCAGAATGTAAAAACTTGGCAAACAATTTCAGATCAAAGTTAATATCCTTAGAAATGTCACGTTAGTAGCATTTACCCTTTGATAAAATGTGATAAGAATGTCATCTTGATAGCATATAGCAGGTACCACTTGATGACATATAATGAGAATAGTCTTTTACTTCTGTGGTCTTTCTCACCAAAATCCTAATCCCAATCTAACCAAAGAAAAGACATGTGTCAAACCCAAATTGAGGGACATCCTACAAAATAGCCAACCAGTAATCCTCAAAAGTATAAAAATCATAAAACACAAGGGATCATCTGGGAAAATGTCTAGATCGGAGGAAGCTAGAAGGGTGTCCAACCCGCAGCCCACGGGCTACATGCAGCCCAGGATGGCTATGAGTGCAGTCCAACACAAAACTGTAAATTTACTTAAAACATTATGAGATATATTTTGTGATTATGTGTTGCAATGTATTTAATGTGTGGCCCAAGACAATTCTTCTTCCGGTGTGGCCCAGAGACCCCAAATGGTTGGACACCCCAGTAAAACTAAATGGAATGTTGCACCCTGGACAAAATTCTAAAACAGAAAAAGAGTGTTAGGACAAAAAAATAGTGAAATCAAAATAAGGTGTGTAGTTTAGTGGCATTTAGGTCATAGTAATCTACCTATGTTGGTTTCTTAGTCCATATGTCACAATAGTTTGGTACTTCATTGTCCTTTCTGTTGTCTCTGCCCAGAAAATCATTTTGCTTTTATCTCTAATTGTTATATCCTTTAAAATTTAAATTGTTCCTTTTTTACAGATGCCTTCTTTACTTTGCCCAGGTTGCCTTTGTTTGTTTGTTACATAAAATACTTGCATACCTTAATTGCAGTACTTACTACTTTGTACAATGTCTTCATGCCAGCCTGTAAACTTTAAAAGAAAGAAGTCCCTTTTTTACTGCTATATACTTTGCTAAATATAAAGTACCTGATATAATCAGTGTTTTATAAATGTACATTACATGAATACATGAAATAAAAGATTTATAGTTGTTAAAAATCAGTTTGTCAAAGGAAATATTTTGCTAGTTCACTAAGTAAGGTCAATATGAGACT